CCATCGCGCTCTGTGGCCCGCGGGTAGCGCAGCTCTGGGCAAAGGGGCGAATACGCCTCTCCCTGCGTGTACACGGATCGACCCATGGATGCACGAGTGCGCGCGCGCCCGCACGGACGCGGGCGCAGGGCGGTGGTGCGGTGCCCTCTGTGCAGCTCCCTGCGTGTGTCACGTGGTGTGAGGCCAGAGTGTGGTTTCGGTGTGTGTGCAGCCCCGAGAGGAGGGGGACAAAGGGGCCATTGTACCACATTCCCCGCTCCAGCCCTCCTTTCCGCTGACATCACAGCTGCCCTAAATACCGGCTCCCGGACCCGCTCCCCAGACCCCGGGCCCCTGCGCTGTCGCAGCGCCCGCCGCGGTCCCCGCGCAGCTCCGGGGACTCGCCTTCGCTTCTCTCTGAAAAGGGCCGTGTTCCTGTGGGTGATTTTTCCGTCAGATGCAGACAGAAACTTCTAGAAAGGAAGGAGACTTTGGATATTTTGTCTGTTCTTCTCTCTCAGAATCCTGGGTCCCTTTGGTGAGGTGAGCCCATCTCCTGGCAGGATGATCTAGGACGAGAACATGGTGGATTTCCCCTGAACCCTCAGCTGCCTCTAAGACTTTCCCCGGGCAGAGCTGGGTGAGGTTTAGAAAAGGGGAGCTGGGGGGGACCTGTAGGAGTGAGGGAGCTTGTGCTGGGGCGCAGGTGGATTGTGTGGAACTGCGGAGCTGGGGCTGCAGGAGACCGGCTGCTCTCACAGCTGAGGCCCACGAAGGAGGCTGTGGGAGGGAGGGAGAGGGTCCGTCCAACCCAGCTGTCCCTGTGTGGGTGCGAATGTGTGTCATTCTGGGCGCCCGCCCACCTGTGAGCCAGTGTGTCTGTGTTCACAGGGCCCCTCGTGCGTGCGGATGTGTTGGGAATGGGTGGGGGGTCTGTAAATGTGGGGACAGCCTCCCCACACAGGGTGGCAGAAGAGACCCTGTGTGAATGGAGAACACATGGGTCAGGCCTTCCCAGCGTGTGCGTGGGTACACAGGGCATAGGAGGGTCTGCCTGTGTGATGAGCAGGAATGGGGGTCTGGGGAACAAGGAGGAGTGTGGGGAAATTGGGAGAGGCTGGGCAGTGGGGGAAGTCTACCGTCCTAAAATCCTAGGGCCAGTGGATCCCTGGTGCTGGGCAGTGGCGTGTCTCGGCGATCCCTTCCTGGGGCGTGCACCAGAGGGAACCGAGTAAAGCTGAGCAGTGTCCACACACCGGAGGCAAGAGCCTGGAAGAAGGCTGGCCTTTGTCTAGGAGGGCAGTCAGCCCATTACGCTTCTGAGCACGAACATTTCAATGCTTTGCAGAGGGCTCACCTGGCGAGGCCCAGAGGGAGGTGAGTTTGGTGTGCGCAGGTGCTGAAGAAAGTGGGATTTTCTCTGTGGGAGGAAAGACAGAATGCAATAGAGTGGTGAGCGAAGCAAATTTTAGAACAAGGAGGCCGAATAATCAAGTTTTAGGTGACTTCACTGCTGTGGGGAACCCCCTCCTGCTCCCCAGGGCTCTGGAAAACTGATGCTCGCATGGAGGCCTGGAGGAAGCCAGCGAAGGGGCTGAGTTCTGGTTTGGGTCAATCTGCAGGGGAGCTAAAGGAAGAGCCACGAAACCCACACTGCCCAGTTAAAAAATATATCATGCGAGCCACGTAATTTTATTTCCCAGCAGCCATACTAAAACTATAAAAAGAAACAAGTGAAGTTCATTTTGATCATAGATTTTATTTAACCCAATATATCCCCCAATAATATCATTTCATTACATTTGCAGCTGTCTCAATTTGGACCGGCCACATTTCAGGTGCTCAGTGGCCCCAGGTGGCCGGCAGCTGCCCGACAGTGCAGCCCTGGGCAGCGGGTCCGTGCCCAGGGGCAGGAGAATTTCAGCCTCTGCCTCAAACTTATGGGGAGAGCTTGTACTCCTCACGGGGTGCTGAACAGAAATTGAGCCCACTTAACCTGGGCCTTAGGGCGCAGGGAGACCCCGTGGACCTCTGGTTGTGAGGTGACCGTGGGAGTGCGTGCATGTAACAACGTCCCCATTCTTGGGAGCTGCCAAATGCCAAGCCCTCGCCCGGGCCTCACAGGTTCTCGCAAGGCCCGAGGCAGCTATGATTAATGTCTGTGCGTAAACGAAGTGTCAGAGCTGGAATGTGAGCCCTGCTCAATCTGACCTCAGACCTCAACAAACACACGAAGGGCGCGCTCCGTGGAATGAAGCGTGTTTGTGTCTGGAGATACGGGAGACGAGTGCATGCGAGGGACCCGCCGTAGGCAGTGCCCCGTGTCCTCGCGTCTGGCAGAGATCCTCCTCGCTAACTGAGAGGCAGTGAGGAAACGTCTAGAGTCAAGCCACGTGTGGGGACTGTTTAGGGGGAAGGTGGAGGCCACTCACTGCGCCACGTGGGCAGTGCCAGCTGAGGGATTGCAGGAGCCGAGGGTGGAGCGAGGCGTGAGGTCGAGTCTCAGGGTGAAGGTTGGGGGGGACACTGTGGCTATTTGTCCTCAGCTGTGGAGGGGAGGGCAGGGGAGGGAGACGACTGCCCAGTGGATTCTTACCCCGCAGTGAGCAGAGGGGTTCTCAGTGTGCCCAGGCCCTCCCCTGTGCTGCCAGGGGTGGCTGGGTGTGCGTGCGAGTGTGACCAGGCACTGCCCGATGTCCTGTGCAGTCACGTCATCCTCCCAGCTACTTGTCTGGGCCACTTCCTCCCAGGCCAGCAGCCAGGCTCCCGTGTGCTCCTCGGAGCTGAGCAGGGACCACGGCTGCCAAGATCTCCAGGCAGAGCAGGGAAGCAGAGGGAAGTGAGGGCTGACCCTGAGCCCTTCCAGACCTGGCTGGACTGAGGCTGAGGCAGCCCCTCCGCAAGGGGACAGGGTTCAAGGAGGAGCCACCCAGGGTGCAGGCCGGCTGCTCCAACCTGAGCAGATTCTGTGCGACTTCTGCTTTGGGCCAGAGGAGGGGCCCCCAGAAAAAAGGTGGAAATTGCCAATGAGAAGTCAAAGGCCTGCTCACCGGAGAACCCATGTGCTTGGGGGTGACACTCAAAGAACCATTCAGTCAATAGACATCTGTTGAGCACACACAGTGCCAACACCGAGCCCTGCCAGCCTCCGCAGATGCTTATGGGATTAACTAACTAATGGGCATGGGGTGCCCAGCAGGGAGGGGGACCAGAAGCCTTAGCAATGGCTTTGCTCACCCTCGTTGCCCAGCAAGGAGCAATCTCCTTAAGAGCTCTGAGCAACCCAGACCTGCATCCCTTCAGAACCTTTCCAGACACCTACTGTGTGCAGGCACGTGCCCCTCGCCCTCCTGGTGTCAGGACCCCAACGAGGTGCCATACCGAACAGCTCTTCTCGGCGCCAGGAGTGCTGTCCTGGCCCCTGCCCCGCCGCAGGGCTCCCTGAGGAGGGGTGGCCTGTCGGGATCTGACCTTTGCAGTGAGGAGGTAGTCGTGCGTGAGGACTGGGGGGACTGGGGGTTCCTGACAGAGGGAACAGCAGAGGCCAGGGTGGCCGGAGCAGGCGAGTGAAGGGAGCGTGAAGTGCTAAGGGTGGAGAGGTGGGCAGGCCCTGCGCACCAGCTCAGAGTGAGAGCACAGGGCAAGGCTCCCCATTTTTCCTTTTAAAGGGTGGGCCCAGCTGCTGTTGGAGCCCAGACTGGCGGGGCAGGGAGGGGGGGCAAGGGGGCTGTTTCAGGGGTCCAGGAGTGAGATCCTGATGCAGGACTGGGGAGTGGAGGCTGTAAGAAGGGGGTGGATTCAGGACACATTTTGAAGGTAGGGGTTCTGAGGAATGAGAGAAAGGAGGGAGGGGTCCAAGGACAATCAAGTGGGGGTCCTTGTGACCCCCTTGCCTGTCCATTTCTGAACACCGGGACACAGTCCTCAGAGACTCAGCCCTCCTCGGGGACCCTTGACCAGGAGTCTCAGCCATCAGACTGGGGCTGTCCCACTTGGTCCACCTGGGCAGTGGGGGTCCACCTAACCATCAGCCCCCAGCCTGGGCCTCTGTCTCAGGTGAGGGAGAACTTCCTGGGCATCCCCCCCTCCCTGCTCACGACCCCAGGGCGGGGGTGGAGGGTGGGGGTGGGGTGAGGGGTGGAGAGGAATGATTGAGTCAGCTCCAGAACAGGTGGGTCCCAGGCCTGGGGCACAGAACCCCAAGAGGAACGCAGGGCTCAGGGATGGCTGGCGGGTGCCCTGCCCTCGTTTGGGTTGAGTTAGAGTTGCCACCTGGAGCCGGGGCCTGAGGGCTGGGCCACAGTCCTCGCTCTTCTGCTCTCCCTCCTTTGTCTGCGTCCCCTCAGGTCTGTCCTCCCGGGGGAGGGGTCAGAGGTGAGACTGGGAGCAGTCTGGACCCAGGGCAGCTTTGGCTGTAGCCACTTGAGGAAAACAAGCTCAGGCTCCGTCCTGGCCAGCTGAGCTCTCTGGGTTCCATGGAGGCCAAGCCAAGCTGGTGACACCTCCCCCTGTCCCCGGAGGAGACCACCAGGAAGCGGGCATTGAGCCTGGGCTGCCAGGGTCCTGCGTTTCAACCTCTTTTTCCATGTCTAGACTGAAGTATTTCCCTGCACGACTTACAAAGGGGCTCTCTGCCCAGGGGCTCTGGGCGGGTGAGAGCCTGGGTCTCCTACTTCCAGAGCCTCTCAACCTTCCAGAATCCGTGTGAAGGCAGACTCGCCAGCTTTGAATCCAAGCTCTGACACTTGCTCTGTGACCTTGGGTAAGTCCCGTACTCTCCCTAGACCTGCTTCCTTGTCTATAAAATGATCCAGTAATTCCTCGTTGTGAGGTCCATGTGAGGGTTAACCCAGGGCCGCCTATAGCAGGTCCCACTCTCTCCCGGAGAGTTTGCGAAAACAGCAAGCAGAGTCCAGAGGGCAGGCTGGCAGCCCTGCTACCACCTTCCAGATGCCCAGAAGCGCAGGGAAAGGCGGCGAGGGCGGGAGGCTCCTGAGAAGAGGCACAGGCGGCAGGAGATGGACAGAGCTGCGGTGTTTACTCTGGATGTCCTGACCCCGGACACCCTGGTCCCGCCCCACCTCCATCTCTGCGCGTTCCGAGCCTGGAGTCCATCGGACCAGGAGCCAGAATCAGGAGGAAGGCTGTGGCCCTGTGTGGTGGCTTCTCTGCGAGCGGGTGGACAAGGGATGGGTGAGGCCCAGGCTGGAGCTGGAACAGCGGAGGGAAGCGAGAGGGGGGTTGTGAGGTCCAGGCCCTGGTTCTCCTGCCTTCCCCACCCTGACACTCTGACCCCCGAGTGTTTGGCATTGGGGGAGCAACCCCTCTCAGATGCCTCAGCGGGGCAGACAGGTCTAGGTGTTCCTCCCTTGACCTCTCCCATCACCCACCACCTGCCCAGCCTTGAGACAGAGGCCACCTTGTTCCCAGAAATAAAGCTGGCACTGCCAGCCGGACCCACCTGAATGGGCCCTCAGTGCTGGTCCAGGATGAGGGGCACCTGGGCGCTGTCCACTTGGGGAGGCAGTTGCTGGCCCGTGCGCACGTTGAACATGGGCAGGGTGGAGAGTGGCCTGGGCACCTCTCGGCTAGCTGCCATCTGCCGCAGTTCCTCTGTGTTCTCACGAATAGTGCAGTGGTGGACCATCTGGATGCTGGGGGCACAGGACCGGCAGAGTCATCAGCTCTGGGAGTCAGCCTCCCAACTGTGGGGTCCGGCCTGGCACTGACTCTGCGCCGCCCTACCGTCCTGCCTACCTGTTATGTGGGGGGAGACTCGCACACGTGATGGGTGGAGAGAGGACAAACAGGAAGTTCTATGGTGCCAGCTCAGTGCCAGTGACGAGCATGGGTTCTGCGTGTGGACAGCCTGGATTCAAAGCTGTATGTTCTTCACAGGTTGCTTAACCACTCTGTGTCTGTTTCCTCAACTGTACGATGGGACTCGTGATGGAGCCTACCTCCTAGGATTGTTGTGGGATCACTGAGTGTTTAGAAAAATGGCTGGCACATGGTAACTTCCCAAGATGCTAAGACATGAATAGATACAACAGTGGCCAGCATCTACTGGGCTTTATTATTTTGTCGTTGTTAATCCTGATCAGAGGATATTTTTTCCATTGATTTTTAGAGACAGTGGAAGGAGGGGGAAAGGGGGGAGAGAGAGAGAGAGAGAGAGAGAGAGGAACATTGATGTGAGAGAGACATATCAATTGGTTGCCTCCGAGCGTGCCCTGACCAGGGCCGGGGATCAAACCTGCAACCCAGGTACATGCCCTTGACCAGGAATCAAACCCACAACCCTTCGGTGCACAGGCCAATGCTCTAACCACTGAGCATGCCGTCCAGGGCAACTGGGCTTTATTTTGTATTTGTATATTCTGATGACACTCTAGATCTCTGCTAGCACTCAGCTCCCTCCCCTGATACTCTCTCCCACCACCGAACACCCCATTCTCCTCCCCTCCCACATCCCTGCCAGAGTCTGACAAACCTATACCCTCCACCTTCTCCCACCTCCCAGCCTTTGTCCAAGCGGTTTCTCCATGTCTTGCCAGGCCTCGACCGTGTCATCTTCCAGTTCCTCAGACCTGTCCTCCTCTCTCTGTACCTCAGCCCCTCTTACCCCACCCCAGTCAGCCACTGAGTTTTGTCTCCCTGCCTTTGTTTCAAACCAAGGCTCCCTGAGGCCTGCACCAGGCTCCACCCTGTGACGGCCACATCCCCTGGGAAGTCCTTCCTGAGCCCTAGCTCCAGTTTCTCCTCAGAAGGCTCAGCCTTCTTCTCACTTGACATTCTCATGGGCTTGCTCTCTGCTGTCCAGGGGCAAGCTTCAGTTCATTCTGAGAAGTGGGCTGGCATCATGGTTGAGCATGAAGACTTGCTTTGGGTTTGAATGTGAGTTCCACTGCTTATTGGTTGTGTGACCTTGTGCAAGTTACTTAACCTCTCTGTGCCACCGTCTGCTCAACTGCAATGCAACTGTTGTATGAATTAAATGAGTTAATAGGAAAAACACTTAGAATGTCTCCTGGTCAGCGTGCAGCAAGTGGTAGCTATTATTATAGGGAGCCTACAGTTGCTTTATTATCATTGGTGTTTTCATTACGGTAAGTCCACTGGGCCTCCAGCGCAGGGAGGCCTAATGAACTTGGACTTCAGTGGGGCCCAGCCTGAAGACATGTTCCCAGACTACCTGGTTGCCAGGTCAGACAGAAGCCCAGACTTTTCATTACGAACAATAAGAATTGGTCTTCTTAGCCCTGGCCGGTTTGGCTCAGCGGTTAGAGCATCGACCTGCGGTCCGGAGAGACTCGGGTTCGGTTCCCGCTAAGGGCATGTACCTCGGTTGCAGTTTGTCCCCGGCCCTGGTTGGTCGTGGGGGAGGGGGCAGCCACTCGATGTGTCCCTTTCACGTCGATGTTTCTCTCTCTCTCTCTCTCTCTTCCTCTCTCTCCCTCCCACTGTATCTGTACAAAAAATGGAAAAATGTCCTCGGGTGAGGATAAAAAAAAAAAAAAGAATTGGTCTTCTTAAAGGGATGGGGCCCCATGTAGGGTGGAAGCAACCCTACCTGCCTCCGGGGTACAGATCAACGGGGAGAGAACGAGTGATCCCCAGTCAGGTCCAAGCCTCAGTGCACACAGACTCCTGCTAGAGCCTGACCGACTAGACTCCAGGAGGACACCCGGCTTCCTGCTGAATGAGCCGCAGTCCCCAGGGAAGAGTAGGACACAGTGCTGTCTGGTTGGCGGGAGGAGGTGGAGTCACCCTCTAAGGCTAGAGGAGGGTCAAAATGAGCTCTTGAGTCTGGAATTTGGCAAGAGGAGTTGTCCAAAACACAATTTTCCATTCCCAGGCAAGGGGAGGCTGAGAGGGAAGGGAGCAAGAAGGGTATGGACGCTGAGGGCTGAAGCAGCCAGGCAGGTGGTGTGCTGTGGGGGAAGGGCCTTGTTAACCGGCCCCCTCCCCACTCCCAGCCCCACATCTGGATTTCATTATTCTGGCAACACACACAGGTGGAAAAATGTTCTGGGGATGTTTTTCCAGAGCAGGAGCAGAAGCCAGAGCCAAGGTGCCTTTCCCTACAGTCCTTCCACATCAGCACTTGGGCAGATAAAGGAACAAATGGGCAGGCTCCCTACACACTCACACACTCACACACTCACACCCACACACTCCACCACCAGCACACAGCTGCTCCGGCCCTGCTCTGGCACATGGACCACGGGAGAGGGTCGCCAAGACTGCAGGACTTTCCGACCAGTGAATCTGACAGAGAAAATCAGGCAGCAGAATCACAATTTGTGGATCATTTGGAAAATGGTAGTCACTGAACGAGAGAGAGAAAAAAGAATTTTGTAGAAATAAATTAACAGCCCTGGCCAGTTTGGCTCAGCGGTTAGAGCATAGGCCTGCGGTCCAGAGAGACCCAGGCTCGGTTCCCGCGAAGGGCACGTACCTCGGATGCAGTTTGTCCCCGGCCCTGGTTGGTCGTGCGGGTGGCAGCCACTCGATGTGTCCCTTTCATGTCAATGTTTTTCTCTCTCTCTCTGTTCCTCTCTCCCTCCCACTCTACCTGAACAAAAAAATGGAAAAATGTCCTCGGGTAAGGATAATAAAAAAAAAGAAAAGAAAGAAATTAACGGAATGTTCAAACCTACAAGAGCTAATGTCACACATGGTAAATTGGTTATTGATTCAAAATTGGTGGAGGAAGCAGATTGTCCTGACAGGATCAGAGCTACAAAACTGACCCAGAAAAGCAGGATGTGGTCGGGAAGAGAAGATTCACAATCATGAGGGCAGAAGATATAATTGATCAAATTTGGCAGAGGCCAAAAAAAAAAAAAAAAATTGAGGAATAAAATATCCTTTGTAAAATTGACCTAGAAAAGCACTGACCTCTGTGGGAAAAAATTCTATAAAATAACAAGAAAAATAGGGGAAAAAAAGAAAAGCCTGTTCATTGCTTGTATAGAAAGTTGATAAAGAATTAAATCAACTTAAGTAGATCAGGGAATTATTCTATTCACTCTGGAAATGTATTCCCCATAAAAACTCCTAAATGTTGGTATAATTCTGATTCTAAAAATGTCTGTATTTCTCAACCTAGTGAGTTGATTGAGATGGCTGGGTCAAAATGGTGGATTTAAAACTGGGGTCTCAGCCCAACCAGTGTGACGTAGTGGATTGAGGGTTGTCCCATGGACTGAGAGGTCCGGGTTCGATTCCCTGTTAGGGCAATGCCGGGTTGTGGGCTGTGGGCTTGATCCCCAGCAGGAGGCAGCTGATGGATGTTTCTCTCCCACATCAATGTTTCTATCTCTCTCTCCCTTCCTCTCTCTCTAAAATTAAAAAAAAAAAAATCAATAAAACATATTAAATAAACTGGGGTCTCAGAACCTGAAATTGGCTGGCGCTCATGCATATACATGTACACACGTGTGGGTCCACAGCCCTTCTTCTAGGGGTACCTGGCATGTCAGATGCCCACACTGTCTGGCATCTCCTGTCTGCCCCTCCCAGGAGGGAACAATGGGGCCACTATGACCCTCACAGGATTCTGGTGGCCTCACAATGTCCCCTGAGGTCACCACAGAGATAACCTTACCACTCCTTGCACACGAGGCACAAGTCTGCTGAGACCAGCCGTGGGTGATCATCCTTGATCCTGCTCCTGGCCAACCAAGGGAAGGCTTAGGCCAGAAGCCTTTGAGGGAAACAGAAACTAGGACGCACCTCACCCACCAAGGAACAGCCCTGTGGAGATTCCCAGCTGCCATCCTGGAGGTCCTTGCACCCGGTTCCTTTCACCCACCCCAGGAAGAGATGCAGAAAGACACTTCGATGCCACCCTCCCCTGTGCCCTCGGCCTCAAACAGTGCCCTGAGTGCCGGCCAGCAGGCCATTCTGTCGGGAGACCCTAGCAAGACTGAGACTGGGCACCATGCCTGCCCCCAAGTCCACAAAAAGCCCAGCATATCCAAGGTGATCCTGGGGGTCATGGAGGACAAGGGGGTGCGCAACCGTGTGTCCTTGGCCACCCTGAAGAAGGCTCTCATCACCACAGGCTACAACATGACCCGCAATGCCTGGCGTTTCAAGAAAGTGCTCAAGGGGCTGGTGGACAAGGGCATGCTCAGGCAGGTGACCAGCAAGGGGACCTCGGGCTCCTTCTGTATGGGCAAGAAGCAAACCTCCAACTTCCAGCTGGAGGCCAAGAGACGGAGGCAGCGCCGACAGTCTGGCCAGCGCAGGTCTGGGCAGCGCAGGTTTCTCCTGAGCTCCAACCAGAGACGCAAGCAGCTAATCAAGGGGGCTCGCAGGGTGGCTAAATGTGGTCGCAATTAATGAGGCAGGCCCGGCAAGCAAGCAGAGGGGCCAGGCCCACCACAGGCTCAGAGCAGTAAAATAAAAGGAGCCTTATTTAACACCAGCCTCCTGGAATCTTTGGGGTTCAAGGGAGTGGGAAGAAAGAGGGCTGGCGCATGGAGGAGGGGTAAGGATATGGGGGGGGGGAGCCTGGGCAAAATAAGGGTGAGGGGTTTAGGAAGGGCTGGGGGAATTGAAAGTATTCATGGGCATTCGCCAGTCCAACCACACCACAGAGGGAGCAACCGAGGCCAGAAAGGGTCCCAGCAATTGTGAGCAATTGAGGCCAGAACGGTGTGGCGGAACCCAGCCTGGAACCCACGTGCCTGACACAGCGAAGTGTGTGTGGGTGTGAGTATGCTGAAAGTCTCTCGAGGTGCTTCTCCAATCTTCTCCCCAAGGGTGGCAGTGCGGCAGGTCCCTCGCCTGCCCCCTCCCACATTAGACTCCTCCATGCAGACCCAAAACCTCAGAAGGCCAGGGCTGGACCTCAGAGGCCAAGGATGGCCCCGAGCATCTTACAATAATCTGGTTTGTCTATGCTGCTCATGGAGGTGGGAAAGTCCAGCTTGACAAGGTAGGGGTGGGGGCCCCTACCCCCCACCCAGCCCCCAGCTTTCCCTTACTCACTCAGAGGTGGCCAGGTCTCTCTTCAGCCTATGGAAAAGCAGAAGGAATTAGCTGTTACCTACAACCCCTCCTGGCGCCTGGCAGGACCTGAGCCCTGAGCCGCCTGGAAAAGGGCCCCCTCTCCCTTCCTGGCTGACTCCCTCACTCTCTAAGCCAGAGGTCTGGATCCCCACACAATACAGGTGACACAGGAGTCCCACAGTTGAGCACCAGCCACAGTACCCTCCCTGCCCGCCGTCCCCCACACTCACCGTCCCTCCCGCCGGCAGCACATGATGTAGGCCAGCAGCAGGGTGAGCAGCAGGGCCACCAGCAGAGGCACCAGGAGGGTGACCAGTGCGTCGGTCAGGAAGTCTCGGGCTGCGGCCTCCGTGGGTGGGCAGAAGAAAGGATCTCGTTCCAGGATCCCATCGCCTCGGGTGGGCACCTCGTCTGCGGGCTCTGGCACTGACTTATCCACCTGCTCAGAGAGCCCAGGACTGACCCAAGAGCCACTGGGTGGGCACAGAGCCCACCCAGGGGAACGGCAGGTATTCCTGGTGCCACGACCTACTGCCCCATGCAGCCACAGGGTTTCCTCCTGCCTGCCTCCCCCGGCTCAGGTGACCCAGAAGGACAGGCACTGGACTAGGAGCCAGGAAGGAAATTCTCAGAGAAGCAGGGCTGAACAATGATCACAATACAGCTCTAGGGTCTGACTGCCTGGGTTCGAATCCTGACTCAGACACGTGCTTGGCTGGAATGACTTAACCTTTAGTCGCCTGTTTCCCAGCCTATAAAGTTGGAATGCTAATAGTGGTACTTGTCTCCTGGGGTGGTTGCAAGAGTAAAACAGGTTGAAGGTATAGTGCCCAGCACTTAGCAAGTGCTCAGGAATGTGGTTGGTTACCAGCCCCTGGCTGCCCTGTTGGTCAAGTCACCGGAAAGGAGTACGCTAGTGACCTTAGATCCCTCCGCTCAACAATCAAAAAATAGTGGTGAGTGTCTGATTTATAACAGCAGTGAAAACTTTCTGCTCCTCCTCACAGGTAGATTCACTCAATGACACCTTAGAAGGAAGCTGTCACTCAGAGGCCCTTGGTGGGGAAAAGGTTTTGGAAGGGCATTGTGGGAGCCGTTATTCTGGGACTTCAGGAGCCAGAGATCTCTGGGTTATGGACTCTGTTGCCCTCTTGTGGTAGAAGGTGGAACTTCAGCGTGTGGGGGTGGGGGTGGGGTGGGAGTGTGGGGGGGGCAGGGAGACAGAGAGAGAGAGAAGATAATCAGAGAAAGAAATAGAACAGAGACTGGGATGGGAAGGGGTGAGGGGGCGGACTGTGATGGGGGCCATGCCCCATTCCCACCTAGAGCCAGGGTCCCTCCTCACCAGAGACACATTGCACCAGTCAACTCGGAAGTGAGAGGCCAAGGTGTCATAGCAGGACAGAAGTGGAGGCTGGCCTTGGGCACAGCGAGCTTGGCTGTCGGGAGACGCCACCATCTTCAGGCAGGTGGAGAAGGGTGAGGCAGAGCCCACCTTGATGTACACCCTGGGCCCGGATAGAAGCCACCATCAGCAAATTGAAAGGGTGTCATTGAGCACTGGAAATTTGATGGTTACAAGGCCACCATGAAATCTGGGGTTATGGGTGAGAGTACACAGGGCAGCCCAGTCATCTGGGGGGCCTTTTTCCTTCACGAATGTCCTTTAAAGGACGGACCTTTTATGTCCTCATGGACACAGGAAGTGGGAGTTCAAAATAACAAGGGTTGGGTGCCCAAAGGGCAAGAGGAAGATGAGGGCATGGCCAGGGGGCAGTGGACAGTGGAGTGAAGATGGGAGATATAGATTGGCCTGGTGAGGCGTGTCCCAAGTTTCCTAGAAAACATCTTCACCACGTGTGTGTTCCCGGCATAACTCATTGACTGTAAGGCAATTTGACTGCTTGGCTGTTTGGTTTACTCTAGCAGATCCAATGTATTTTGTCAGTTTGGTTTCACTTCCCCATTGACAAAATTCTCCCAGTTCTCCCTTTTTTTTTTTTTTTCATCTTAACCCTCATAATGGTCTATACAGTGCCAGTAGACGTGGTGGTCTGAAAACAGTGGATGATAACAGCTACCTGTAGAGCCAGATCGCAAAGGTATGAAAGCCAGATTCCACGCTCTACCAGAAAATGATCACGTCTCAGTTTGCAAATCCTTCAGTGAGTACATCCTTCCCATCTGTCAAAATCAAAAGTTTACCAAGCTATGCAAATATAAAAGAGGCAGCCACTAATTCACACGTCTTCAAGGGCACTAATTATTGATTCTTTAGTTGGAATCTGATACCTGTCCTAATTAAGAAGAAAATTTTAGCGGAATAGAAAAATATGCAATGCTGGACAAGACTATTCAACAAGAAAAAAAAACAAAAACCCACGTATAATACTATGAACAAAGACTCCAAAAACAATGTATTTTCATTTTTGGCAATAAAGTCTTTTATTTTGTTATTCATTTTTCATGTTTCATTAGATCTTTTTTAATGTCCCTCTTTTATTTTTGGTTCTTTTATCTTTTATGGCAAAATTGCCTCATGGCCAATTAGTTATGCAGGAAAAAATGTTTGGAACAAAAATGCTTGTGGCAAAGATGTTTATGGGGAAACTATGTAGAACCATGGCGAGGGGGCACAAAGGTGGGGAAAGCCCCACCTGGAAATTAGGGAGACCCATGTTTCATGCCTACAACCCAGACAGAAGACAAACTGTCTCCCCCTTCAGGAAGCCCTCCAGGTTTGCATGCTTACCCTTCCTTTCGGCCCTCGATGGGAAGGGGAACACGGCCCCCACGGTCCAGGGCGGAGGTGATGTTGAGCAGCTGCAGCTCTCCTGGCTCCCAGAGCCCCCCCAAGACTGTGAGGAAGCGGCTGGCAGGCAATGAGGGCAGCACCTCCTCCACGTCATGGCTGCGCACCAGGAACTCAGCCTGGTATGGCAGCAGGGGGCCTGGAAGAGCCAGGTTGACACCTCAGGCTGCGCCCAGCCATGCATAGATCCTTCCCAAGCCTCCCCCCACCCAAGCTCCTCCCTGTATCTCCTCAGACTTCCTCCTTCCTCCCTAATACCCCATACATCACAAACCCCAAACGCCCTTCCCCAACACCCACAGATGGCCAGCAGAACAGCCAAGTACACAACTCCACTGCTCCCCACTACTTTCCAAGTCTTTCCTCCCATACATCGCTTTCCAGAGACCCCCTAAGACCGGCATTGGTGGGGTGGAGTGAGACAGGGTAGGTGGTACCTTCCGGGTCCCTAATCAGCAGCACCAGCCTCTGCGGGGTGGTGTCGAAGCTGTCCCGGTTGTAGGCTATGACCTGCAGGGGGTGGGGAGAGGCCTGAGAGGTGGGGTCAGGGGAGAAAAGTGGTGCAGCTGGGCCAGGCAGGAAAGGGCTGAGCTATTGCCAGAGTAGAGGCAGGTAAATAATGGAGTGAACATGCATGGACACCCACATGTGACACAGCCCACTGGGGTCCCTGCGGGTACCTCAATGACCTGGCGTCCGCGGTCTTCCGGGGTGGGGCTACCATAGAGGAAGCCAGCGTGGTGGGGGCTGCGCTGGGTATAGCGGAGCCACCTGGGCAGGTCTGGGTGTCCCTGGAGGTTGGCGTGGTAGGTGACAGGGACAGTGGGTGGGACAGCTGGCGGAAGGGAGGAAAGAGGATTGGAGACATGACAGGCACTAGCCCTGTGCCAGGCACCCCCAGCCCATCCCAGTGCCCAGGAGGCCCCTCTCACCCACGTGCTCAGGGAGGCGCAGGAAGGTTTCACGGTCCAAGGTGTGCACAAACAGACGTCCCACCACCGGGTGCAGGGTGGTCTGGGCCTCCGTGCACCCCAGCCCTGCCAGGAGACCTGTGGGGATCCCACAGCCCCCAAACTGGTCTCAGCCTCAGTCTGGAACATAGGATATACTCCCCTTCCCCACCGTGTCCCTGGTGCCCCTAAGGGACCAGAAGTGTGTGAGAGGAGAGGACTCCCTTGCTGGCTCCCAGAAAAGGAGGGGGCAGGGCCCTGGCAGTGCCCCAAGCTTTAATCGGTGACAAGACCCAGAACCTAGGTTGGTTTTAATTCACGGAGCTCCCCACTCCTCATTTTAGGCCCCTGCTGGGGGTCACAGTGGGCAGAGACTGATGTTTGCCTAGGAGAGGCGGTGTTGGGTGTGTGTGTGTGTGTGTGTGTGTGTGTGTGTGTTAAGGGCACTTAGAAAAGAACCCCATGCTGATGTCTAGGAGCCTGGAGGGGTCAGGGAGAGGGAAGGAGCCTTTGGAGGACGAGGGTAGCCATTCAGGGACTCTCACCCACCTCCCCCAACATACAGGGGAACAGGGCCCCTGCTGGAGGCTAACAGGAGATGAGCAAAGGGGATCCAGCAGGCCCCCACACCCTCCCAGGGCCAAATTTAGCCTGGGCCGAGAAAGAAGCCAGCCAGCCAGCCCGTTAAAGGGCCCATGACTCTTCAGACCTGTGCTCTCAGGCCCACCCTGGCCTAGGACCCCTCCCCCACCCCTCAGAGCTACCAAAGGCACATCCCAGGGCCCAGATCCCAGCCCCAGTTCCTTAGATTCTCCCACCAGCAAAGGCATTAACACCCCAAAGTCCTTCTGACCCCTGCCTCACCCCAGAACCCTCCCGGAGGAACTTCCTCTGCTTCCTTGTCATCACCGCTAAATCCCACCCCCTCATCCTGGCGTCTCCCTGAAGAAGGCCCCAACTTGCCTGCGAGCAAAGGAATCCAGATCATCGAGGCTGCCATGGCTGCCCCAGCCGGCTGGCCTATGAGTGACAGAGACAGGAGCCGGAGGAGGTGGGGGAGGGACCGGGAGGCGTCCCAGAGCAGCTGGGCCCTGCTTCAGCCAGTGGGGCCCTCCTCCTCCCCACTCAGAGCAGGCACTGTATCTGGGGTGACACCCTCCTCACAGGACAAGGGTCCTTCAATCACCCCCTGCCGGCGGCCAGAGTACATATGTTTTCTACCACCGACTTGACAACCACATGCCCTGAGTGCCCTAGCTGCTGATGGCCTTCCGGCCTTTCCTGCACCTGACCACCCTGCTTAGAATCCCCCCACACACACACACACATACATGTGCGCACTCACATGCGTGCATGCAAACCGCAAACCCAGGCTTCTGCCCAGCCTCAGTCCGCTGCCCTCCAGCCGGATACACTCTCCTCAGTCGGCACACATTTGTCCACACTGCGCCCTCTGCCCAGAGTTCCCTTCCTGCCCTCAGGCAAACCTCTCACCTTTCAAGACTCAGCACAGGCCTCCTCCCCTCCCTGAACCTTCCCGTCCTCCCCTGGGCCCAGCTGGAGGGCCCCTAGCTCCAAACCACACAGCTTAGGGGTTGAACTAGGATCTTATCTTTGGATCCCTGGACCTGGTCCAGTCCTGGCCACTAGTAGGTGTAGGAGGCTGGGTGACAGCTTCCTCGCAGCACCTGGGTGTGCCTGCGCATCCAGCTCTCCTCCCCAGACCAAGCACCTCCGATGTGTACCCCAGGTCTAAGAGAGAGAGGTCTAGACAGGACCAGCTGAGAAGAGACAGGGGAGAGGGTCACAGGCAAGAGGCCTGCAGGCCTGGCCACGCACACCCTGAGCACTTACTGCAGAGGTCTTGAAAGACTCCGCTGCCCTCTCTGGGCTTTGCTTCCACAACTAGGAACTGGCAAGAAGCGTGCTCGCCTCTCTGTGTCCTCGTGAGGAATCCACAGATCATGGATACAGCACGTTCAAGGAGCACCTGCCATACAGCAGGCACTGAGGACACGGAGGTGGGCTGACTCCTGACCGGGTGGGCTGGCGTGCTGGTGGGTGATGACGGCTAACCCTTCCTGTCACATGCTGAAGGTTTGGCGTACGTTTACGGAGAGTAACTCATTCCATCTCACAGCAGTTCCATCGAGGTAAGTATTACTATTATTCCCATTTACAGATGAGAAAACGGAGGCACAAGGAGTGTACAACTTCCCCAAGGCCACACTACTGACCAGCTGAGTACATGTGAAGCTCTCAGCCCAGTTCTGACTCAGTCCATGGCACCCCTTCCCTTTCCTCCTGCGTCTGCCAAAGGACCTTAGTGCAGGTGTGAAGTGGGGTACCCTGCCTTCTGGGGGCTTCCCACTCAGAGCAGGCAGAGGGGCATGCTCCCAGATGCCCTGAGGAGGCAGGGGCTCATGGGTGGCAGAGTTCCAAAATTCTTGGTTGCTGGGTGAGCATCCCTCCTGGCCTGAGACAAAGGTGTTGCCACCTCATCCTGGCAAATGCCCCAGGCCAGGATGTCTGGGCCCTGCACTGGCTAGGACCTGAAGAGGCCTGTTGGCCTGTAGATTGGGGTGTCTGGTGAGCAGGTGACTTCGTCCTTGTCCCTTCCACTCTCTTACCACCTGACTGTCCCACCTGTCCCTAGAGAGCCAGCAAATTCCAGAGTCAGCGTCCACTCAGGCTCTCAGTGGTGTTTGTCCCAGGGTCACCTTGGCACCTCTGCCTTCTTAGAGATGGAGGGCAAGAGGGAGAAAGGTTCTAGAGGCAAAGTGAGTCCGAGGGCTCTGGGGGAGCAAGCAGAGGTGCCAGAGCCTGGCCCACTGCCCGGGCCTCAGCCCCTCAGCAGCACCAGTGAATCCCTCCCTCCCCTTGCTGCCTTCTCTGCTATTTTTGGAGCCACCCACTCATACCCTCAGCTGTCTTAAGGTGGCAGTGTCCAAACCCAGTGCCACTAGGTCCAGAGAAACCAGCCTTCCTTGCTGATCCTTGTTCCTCTCCCTAAAACCAGGGGAACCAGGGCCTGTGCCAGGGACCAGCTGGAAGTCTCTGCTGGCCCACCATGGGACATCCCTCCCTCAGAGCTCTCTGGATTGCCACCTGCTGCTGTAACGCTCAGCACTTTTTATTCATTGGGGTCTGCAGGTAGGAAGAAGAGCCACAACATCTTTACACATATTTTAGAAATTGTATTTATTTTTTATTTTTTCTAATCCTCACTCAAGGATATTTTTCCATTGCTTTCTAGATAGAGTAGAAGGGGGCCAGGGGGAGAAACATCAATGTGAGAGAGACACATAGATAGATTGGTCGCCTCGTGCATGAACCCCACCAGGGCTGGGGATCAAATCTGCAACCCAGGTACATGCCCTTGACTGGGAATCCAACCCTTAACCCCTCGGTCCGCAGGCTGACACTCTAACCGCTGAGCCAAACCGGCCAGGACTAAAAATTTTAAAATAAAAGAAATATATAGGATAATATAATGAGCCCCCATATATTCATCACCAAGCTTCAACAATCATCAACTCATGGCCAGTCTGGTTTCATCTATACCCTTCCCAATTCCCCCCTCCTATTTAATTGCCTCTGTCAACATATCAGTACATACATGTCTTTGGAAGAGAATAATTTTTAACATAATCACAATTATTATACCTAATCACATTATTAGACCTTACAGTTAATAATTCCTTAATATGAGACCAATAGAGTTCAAATTTCCAGTTTCTTATAAATGTCTTTTTTTAAAAAAAACAATGTATTTGTTTGCATAGGGATTCAAATAAAGTGCACATATTGAAACTCACTGACAGGCCTCTCTTAAATCTCTAAATCTATAGGTTCCTATTCCAACACACACACACACTGTGTGTGTGTCTCTTTCTTTTTCTTTGAGGGAACCAGGTTGTTTGTTGTGTAATTTTCCACAGTTTGGGTTTTGTTGATTGCATCTCTACGGTGTTCTTTTACATGTTCCTCTGACCTTTGTACTTCTTGTAAATTGTATTTCCTGTACTTGTTATTTTTCATAAACTGTAATTGGGTCAAGAGTCCCAATCAGGTGTAGGTTCCATTTTCTTTGGCAAGACTTCTTCATAGGTGGTAATATTTCTTCCACCCAGAGGCGCAGCAGCCATTGATCTCAGTGCCTCATCCATCTGCTCTTTCTTTTTTTAATATAAAATGGTGACATTCAAATCCAATCACTCTTTTGTTTATTAGCTGGAATAATTCTAGACAGAAAAACTGCCCCTCACTTACTATTTGGTTATTGAGCGATATACAGCTCTCATAGGAAAGACAGGATAAACGCTTGACTCTCTTCCTGTATTTACCAATTTCCAAATAATGAGTTGGTTCTCTAGCATCCTCTAAACTGTAACCCATTCGCTTTTTAAAATTAGTGGTATAATTATGAATTTATGGCTTTAAACGTATTCGACTGCTTCAGTCCTTTGCAACTAGTTGTCCCTCCTGGTGCTCAGTTGTCCCATCTTGAGTTCCCGATTTGGTCCTCACCAGTTGGAGCATCCCTCTGGGGTACTGAAGGGTCAGCTCTCTGCCTCCTTGGCCTCTCAGCCTTGCCCCCACAGGGCCAGCCCTGCCCTCTGCTAGTTGGGTCTCTGTCCCTGCTACTTTGCCATCCGCACCTGTCTTCCAGTTTTCTGCCGGATATTGGCCCTTCAGTGTCTCAGTTTAATCTGGTCCTTTGTATCTGCCTCTCCCCATTTCAGTGAATGTTTGCGGAATGAATGAATGAATGAATGAATGATCTCCCCAACTCTGTCTCATCCCACTTCCGTCTCTATGAACCTGTCTCTTGACCTCTGAGAGCCATGATTTTTTCGTCTGCATCTAAAAGGGGGATGATATGTTGTCATGAGGGACAAAGAAAAGGGATTCTCGTCATTGTGATCTGATTGTCGTATTTGCGTCCCAGACTCCACCCACATCGTTCTCCGCCAGCCTCTAGACCGCCCCCAGCGCAACAACAAAGGGTGCGATCTGTTAGCTGGCCACGAGAGGGCGCGCTCGCCGGTTCCAGCCCGGGCCTGCGCCTGCGTCTGCGCCTGCGCCTACGCCTGCGCAACATTGGGACGGGGAGGGTGCGGGGTGGGAGTGGGAGTGGGAGTGGGAGTGGGAGTGGGGGTGGGGTGGGGATGGGATGGGGGTAAAGAAGCGGAGTGGCTACGGAGCGCCCCGCCCGGGGATGGGGATGCGTGCCAGAGATGGGTGCTGAGCGCGGCGAGCGACGGAGGAGGGGACCCGCGCCTCTAGCTGTACCTCGTCCTCCCCTTCCGGGTCCGGAGGATGTTCTTCCAAACGGGGGGGAGAACCCGCACGGAGGCCGGGGCTGGACACAATGCCCTCCTCCCCACCCTCCCCGCCATCTGTGTCAACCCTCCGACTTCAAGGACGTTTCTGTATTTCCCCACTCACCCCCACCGACGACATTAGGGAGCACCAGCCTGAGGACCTAAGTGTACCCAGAATACCCCTTCTTACTAGTGGACTTAGCCCTCAGAGGGGTGCCTTGGGCCCCGTGGCTGCCCAAAGCCATCAGTCATGAGTCTGAGAATGCCAGAGACCATTCCTGGCCAAACTTTCTAGTTTACAGAGAAGGGAGCGTGTCCGAGGTCCCACAGCACAGTGGTCTGTACAGCTAGCTCTGTGGATGTGAGACCCAGAGCCCTTTCTTTCCACGGAGACACTCCCTCTCTGAGAAGAGAGGGTTAATAAGGCTCCATGAGATAATGGAAGCAAAAGTGCTTTGTAAACTGTAAAGGTCTGGAGAAAGTACGGGGTCTTTTATTTATTTATAACTGACAGTGCAAGGCAGTAGCTGCCCAGGGCCAGTCCACTGGTATGGCCCGAAGTCAGATTTAGAAACCACCACTCAGTAACAGAAGGATTAGGAACAGAAAAGAAACAAAATCTCTGATATTTTTTGCAGATGGTATGATTATTTATATAGAAAATCCAAAAGATTCCCCACGGGCATGTTATTGAGTTATTAAGAGAGATCAGCAAGCTTGCTGGACAAAGATGAACATCCAAATACAAATAAAATTCAAAATTCAACAGTGATTCTATAATGAGCAATAATTTATTTGAAACTATATCTTTTTTAAAAGAAATCACAATAAAATTAAAATTTAATAGAACCCTGATAAAAACTTAGAAAAGGCATTTAAAGATATTTGTGAAGAAAAACTATAGGCTATAAAAGGAATAAACTGAGAGATGGAGAGATGTATTCATTATAAGGTTGTGAATCATCAGTGCTGTGAAGACAATTTCTCCATATTAATCTATCGGTTTAATGTAAGTCTACTTAATATTCCAAGAGGAATTTTCAGAAAGTGAGGAAACTAATTCTAAAATTAATATGGAAAAGCAAAGGACCAGGAAAAGACTAGACA